TGTAGATGTTAGGACGTTCAAACCAATTATCCTATTATTTATAATGTTTCCTTCCATATTCCAACGACTTTATCACATATTTGTCTCAGTAGATCATTGGAATGGGGATTATTTCGTTGATCCAAAAATATGTGAGCAAACGTCAGAATGAGCTTGTAGGCTGAGAAGGTTCCAAATCTAGGCGTTTAGAATAGGCGTGACGATTTCGGAACGGTTTAGACGTCTAGGTAGAGCCTTGCGAATAGAGGTATTTCCACCTACCCAATTTGTATAGTAATCAAATCGCTGTTGTTAATTTATATAAGAAACTTAAAGCCCTTTATTGGTACTTCATGGGTTTTATAGTGTTGACATGTATGTCGACGAAAGTAGTACTAATAAAGCGTAGTCTCAAGCATTCTTAACGTTTCTCGTAATATATCACAAGATGCTTGTAGGTAGAAATAAGCTCTTATTATCTGATGCATTGTAATTATATATCCTTCTACTTTCAAAAATCAAAGATCCTCCTCTCTACTGTCATCTCAAACTAATTCACCATAGATAATGGGGGCCTTATGTGAATAGTTTTAAAGTCAGAGTTTTCTTCCCAATAAGTTTCTGTATTGCCTCCAATATTTCAAAAACGGTTTTTCTAATAGAAAGGTGTGAGAGTTTGAGAATAATCCACTTATGTGACATCCAGTAGTGGCGTCTTCTTCAAAAGTTCCTCAAAATTTCATCCGTTTTGGGAAATCGTGAGAGGTTTTATTTCAACACGCATGATACCCAGAAAATTCTAAAAGCTAAGCTGAATGCAAACTCATTTACGTTTTTGCTTGTTTCTGATTATTCATTTGTCACTTTGACCTACAGTCTACGCCAATCTGCAGTTTCTGATACTCGCATTATAGTGATAGTTACCTCCAAAGAGATGAGAAACCACTTTTATTTTATCTCGTCAGGTTTTAAAAGTGGTAAAACTATTAAATCAAAATTACAAGATTAAATGTTTCAGTCACTATATAACTTCACTCAATCTTTGATTTATACAATGTACATTCATTGTAGAATGTCATCTTCGTCATTTTTCTTTTCTTGTGCAGATCCGTTCTCAAACTCTCTTAACCATGTTTCACAACTTTCTGAGTAGCCGAAAAATTTAGAAAATCTTCCATATTAGCAACTCCTACCATAATCTGCTCATACTGTATTCAGAAAACTTTGCTTTATAATACCCTTTCATTCATATTCTTTTTATCGTAACGTGACGATGTCACGTCACATCCTTTACTTCAGGCTTAAATGGTACGTATAACACAATTCCTGCTTTGTTTCTTACTTGTAGTCGTTGGCCTTCTCAACGCAACAAAGCAACAGCATATGTTTGGTTTTGGAAAAAGGTAACCACTTGCAGCATACTCAAAAGATTCTCTACGTGGTTAACGGCTCATTATTAAATATATTGCAGTCTTTTGGAAAAGTTTGGGTTGTGCAAGTAATCTTTCTAATAGCAACTTATTTGGTACTGCTTGATTAGAAGAACATTGTTCGGAATCTGTAAATTTCTGTGGTCCAATTCCTGTTATTTCAGATCAGCTGAAGCGTTGGGTGATACAGAAATGGACTGGAGTTCTTGGAATGGAATATCAAAGCGGGTAAATGTTAGCTTCAGGGGTCAAGATTCTTGTTCAAATGGTGATTATAGAAGCATAAAAATTTGACTTTTTAGGATGACAAGAACATGATAGGAGGAAAACGAGGGCTTAATAAGCAATTTACGATGGGTTTTGGAAAGCGAGATTCCGATGAACCCTTAGGCGGCGGTAAGTATATGATAACTCATTTCAGATTATTTATATCAGTTATCAAATATCATTATTGGTAACAGCAATATTAAAGAGAATAGGTCACTGCTTTTGCTGACTGAGAAGTCTTTGTGTTTACTGTTTTTGGTTCTCAAAACTCTTTGCTGCCAAAAAGTATTATAAAAGCAGTGCAATATTTAATCAGATAGAATCCAGGATTTTTTCTGAAGAACCATCCATGTTGAACTCAATTCTAACGTTAGGAAAAGGCTTGAATAATGTACCAAGGCTTGAATAAATGTTTTAAGTCTTTGTTGTGCTTCTTTCCTTCATATTATAGTGGTAACATTTTTGTAAATGGCACAAAACAGGTAAAAATTGTATTTGATGTGATAACCCTCCTCATCCTAGGCATGGCGTTTTGACGTATCGTGTTTTTGCAACTGATGATTGTCGGAGATTTATGAATTTATATCCTCATGTGAAAAAATGCAAAAACGTTTTGTTTCCTTTTTTTCAGAAGAGGACATGAGCAATGGAGCTTCACTGGAGTTCACGAAAATTCTTGGAAAACGACTCTATGGGCTCAACAGGTGAGTTAAGCACTCCCGTTGCAATCTGTATTGTCGTTCCAGACTTAACTAAATAATGAGAAATTATTGTAGACACAGCCTTCCTGGCCTCAGGACCATTCAATACATGGGTCTTGGCAAGAGAGGAGCTTTTTCTCAAGAAGTAAGTCCATCTAGTTTCTCTTGTTAAGTAAGGATATTAAGCTATCGTGTGCCACGCTGATCTCACATCTGCCCTTCTCTTCTGTTGAACATCTTTGAAGAAAGTTAGAAAGTTCATCTCGAAAAATTGAGCACCTCTCTTTTAACTACTACAACATTTTGTAATCCTAATCAAGACATGTGAGCACTAAAAATTCTAACCATGTTTGAGCCGTGAATTAGGTATGAGCATTAGAGCACTAGATGACAAATCCTGTATGCAGTACTCCCTTTTTTAGATTTCAGTTTTTAATCCGTAATATCCAGAATTACGTAATTTCAGAGAGCAGCACAATTCCGAAGATTCAACCTTGGCCTTGGACGGCGATAGCTTCCTTATTGACAAGAAACAGTGCAAGGTGTCGATGATGTATGATATATGCCGAATTATTCATGGAAATGTTAAAGATTTGTGGCCTCAGATGTGGATCAACATGAGCAGTTTGTGTTACTGCATAG